TTATCAGTAGGAAGTAAAATTGAATATTGCATTGTATAAAGCATTGGTTGTAGTTGATTCAGCTACCATTATGCACAAAGAAAGATAACTCCAATTTTCAAAGTAGACTTTAAAATATTTTTAGAAATGAAGGGTAAAAATTGCTTTAATCTATCAGTGGAAGGTAAAATTAAACATTGCATTATATAAAGCATTGATTGTAGTTGATTCAACTATAATCATGGACAAAGAAAGATAACTCCAATTTTAAAAATACTTGATATTTAGAAAAAAAAATGAATAAAATGCTTCGCTGGGGCGCAGCTTGATACGACCGCAGAGGTCGAACCCTGAACAGTTGGGGCAAGTATGGACACAACATTCAAGCTTGATACAGCTCTGAATTTGGATTGTTATTAAATATTTGACACAGCATAGGTTTCTGACACAGAAAGAATGTGGTCTAAGAACTTCAATTTTTTTAATTTACCTATTATGGTCCAATGTCCAAAATCAAAATACATGGTTAGATTCAGCATATCAAAGAACCCCATATATTCAATTTTTGTTAAAATCAAACAAAGTTTAATTTTGGACCCCAACTTGGACAAACTTGAAAACTGGGCCCATAATCAAAAATCTAAACACATGTTTAGATTCAGCATATCAAAGAACCCCAAGAATTCAATTTTTGCTAAAATCAAACTAAGTTTAATTTTGGACCCTTTGGACCTTAATGTAGACCAATTTAAAAAAACGGGACTTAAAATTAAAAATCTAAATACACGGTTAGATTTGGAATATCAAAGAACCCCAATAATTCAATTTTTGATGAAATCAAACAAAAAAAAAGTTTAATTTTGGACCCTTTTGACCTCAATATGAACCAATTTGATAGCGGGGCCCACAAATAAAAAATCTAAATTCATGGTTAGATTCAGCATATCAAAGAACCCCATATATTCAATTTTTGTTGAAATCAAAAAAAGTTTAATTTTGGACCCCAACTTGGACCAACTTGAAAACTGGGCCCATAATCAAAAATCTAAACACATGTTTAGATTCAGCATATCAAAGAACCCCAAGAATTCAATTTTTGTTAAAATCAAACTAAGTTTAATTTTGGACCCTTTGGACCTCAATGAAGACCAATTTAAAAAACGGGACCCAAATTAAAAATCTAAAAACACAGTTAGATTTGGCATATCAAAGAACCCCAATAATTCAATTTTCGATGAAATCAAACAAAGTTTAATTTTGGACCCTTTTGACCTCAATATGAACCAATTTGATAGCGGGGCCTACAAATAAAAAATCTAAATACATGGTTAGATTCAGCATATCAAAGAACCTCATATATTCAATTTTTGTTGAAATCAAACAAAGTTTAATTTTGGACCCCAATTTGGACCAACTTGAAAACTGGGCCCATAATCAAAAAATCTAAACACATGTTTAGATTCAGCATATCAAAGAACCCCAAGAATTCAATTTTTGTCAAAATCAAACTAAGTTTAATTTTGGACCCTTTGGACCTCAATGTAGACCAATTTAAAAAACAGTACCCAAAATTAAAAACCTAAATACATGGTTAGATTTGGAATATCAAAGAACCCCAATAATTCAATTTTAGATGAAATCAAACAAAGTTTAATTTTGGACCCTTTTGACCTCAATATGAACCAATTAGATAACGGGGTCCACAAATAAAAAATCTAAATACATGGTTAGATTCAGCATATCAAAGAACCCCATATATTCAATTTTTGTTGAAATCAAACAAAGTTTAATTTTGGACCCCAATTTGGACCAACTTGAAAACTGGGCCAAAAATCAAAAATCTAAATACATGTTTAGATTCAGCATATCAGAGAACCTCATATATTCAATTTTTGCTAAAATAAAACAAAGTTTAATTTTGGACCCTTTGGACATTAATGTAGACCAATTTGAAAACTGGACCCAAAATTAAAAATCTAAATACACTGTTAGATTCAGCATAACAAATAAATAAATGTGATCAAAGATTTTACAAATCTAATGCGCCATACTGTGCAATTAAAGATTACTTCTTGAAATTTTTCAACATTTGAAATTTGAAAAAAAAATAATATTTGAAGAATAATTCTTTTTAATTTCTGAAATCTGAAATGAGAAAAAATTGGCCCCCACAATTTCTTTTTATCCCCCCCCCCCTTTTTCCCCCAAAAAAATTCTTTCCCTCAAGATATGGTCATAATCTCAATTCAAATTTCCAATGGAGTTGGCAACCATAATTACCCATTTAAATTTACCATAGTGCTAACTTAATCTATTTTATAATAGAATTAATAAAAATATAGTGTCAAATCTTTCATATGGATTTTTTTGTAAAAAAAAAAGATGAAAACATTTGCAGATATTTTTACTGGTCTTCCTTTATAAATATGCATTTCTTTAAACATAATTTAAAAGCAGTGTAAGGGAAGTAACCAAAACATTGTATTTGGATTACCTCCCTTACACTGTTTTAGATTATCTTTATTGTTCATTAACCATTACTTTATACATAATTTAAAAGCAGTGTAAGGGAGATAATTTCAATGATGTATTTGATTTATCTCCCTTACACTGCTTTAAATTATGTTTTGTACTAAAGTATTTGTCCATTAACCAGGACAACCTTGTTTTTCCCCCTTTTTTGCCCCTAATTCCTAAACGGTTTGAGACATAACCCCCCAAAGCAAATCCTAACCATCCCTTTGTGGTATGGAAACTTGTAGTATAATTTCAGAGAGATCCATACACCGTTCCACAGTGATTGTCTGGAAACTAGAAAATGCTCATTTTTGGCCCCTTTTTGGCCCCTAATTCCTTAACTGTTGGTACCATAACCCCCAAAATCAATCCCAATCTTCCTTTTGTGGTATTTAACCTTATGGTCAAATTTCAAAAAGATCCATTCACTTAAACTAAAGTTAGAGTGCGAAAACCAATATGTATTCGGACGACGACGACGACGCCAACGTCATACCAATATACGACCACAAAATTTTTTTGCGGTCGTATAAAAATTCAGCAATTTTACAATTTGAAAAGGGCATAACTCTAGAACAGTAAAAGTGACGGCACCAAAATTCAAACTTGATCTGTATATTGTGGTAATAAGCATTGTGTATAAGATTCATAACATTTGGTTGAGGCAAACTTAAGTTAGAGAACGGAAACGAAAAATTTAGCAATTTTTCCTTTTGTAAAGGGGCATAACTCTAGAACGGTAAAAGTGACGCCACCAAAATTCAAACTTGATCTGTATTTAGTGGTAATAAGCATTGTGTATAAGTTTCATAACATTTGGTTGAGGCAAACTAAAGTTACAGAATACATATGGACAAGGGTAAAACTTAATGCCCCCTCCGCTGCGGCGGGGGCATAAAAAACTGCATGCATTTATCTTTAGAAACAAAAAAGTTAGATATGTCTGTCCAAAAAACCAAAATTTTTAGTAAAGGTCCAAAATTTCGACCCCATTTTTCTCTAAAAATTGCCTATGAAGGTAAATTTTTTAATACCTATTTAAATTGACTAGGTGAAAAATAGCATTGTATGCAACTTTTCGTCAAAAATTCACCATGGGATCAAAACTGCCCTTAAAAGGTTTATTAATAGGTCTATCATTTGGTCTCCAGTGTATAGTTGTCTCATTGGCAATCATACCATATTTCCTATGTTTATCTATCATTTGATGTCCAGTGGATAGTTGTCTCGTTGGCCATCATACCATATTTCCTATGTTTATACTTTAGCCTATACAAATGAATAATAAATCACCTGATGAAGTTTTTTTTATAATAATACCAAAGAAATCCAGCTTATCCAAACACTCGGATGAACGAACGATAAAATTCTGATATTTTACATCCTCGATGACAATCAAGCATTGACAACACCAAACAAATAAAGAGTCCTACAGATTATGATTTGCATCACCTGAGTGCTTTGAAGGACTCTTCTAATCCAGTGATTGCTTTACAATCACACACACTTGATGTAAGGATATTAACACCTTATGCCACTTTTCTTAATCAATTATCCAATTATTTCTTCTGCATAAACACATTACAATACTGGAATGGCAACACTTTTTAAGGGAGATTAGTCTGTATGTGTAGATCAGACCATTGTTTAAGTCGTCCACTTTAGTCAAATCTGATAAGATTAAGATTTTAAAAGTTAAATGTTAATCATGGGTAAAATTTTATAACTTTACCTCAATAGGTAAATTTCAAAGATATTTAAAACAGATCAGTGGTGCAGTACAAAAATGTATTTAATTTCTTTATCTTAGACAAGGGTTTAAAAAATATTAAGGTCAGCAGCCAAAACTTCTTATGACCTCATCTTATTGGGATTTATCCTATGCATTATTTACTATAATTATACCAGTGATCATGTTAAATTTATTGATTGAACAATATAACTGGTCCAATTGTTGACAAAATATATCAAAATCGATTTTAAAAATTTACTCATACAGGGAAATGGTGCAAATAGAAGGTCAAGATACTAACATTTTCCATTATTGGAAATATAAGACAAAGCTTGCCATGCAACAATTCTCATTTCACAACTTTTTGCAATTTTTACTTAATTATTTTTACTTAATTTAAGTTACTTAATTCTGTCAAAATATGTTAGTTTTTAAAACTGCCAAATGCCTTGTATCTTATAACCACTGTGATGTCTGTAATATCTGAATAATGATAGAAGTCTTATTTTGATCTTAAAACATGCCTGTAGAAAAATACTTTCAACCAAAAGAGTCTTAAAAATGAAAATTATGGAAATTTCTTACTAGAAATGTATAAAAGCAGGTTACTTGTAAGAAATTTTCAACACTGACCAAATACAATCAATATCTTTGCATAATCTCATAATCATTTGCTAGGTCTATTACAGGTCAAAATTACATGGGTCTGCAATTGACTTATTTTGTGCAATAGACCTTTATCAGCCATTCATTTGTATATCATTTGACTTACCATACAACAGATATCAAATCTTGTTTATCATGCCTTTCAAACCAACTTATAAATGATGAGAATGTGGAGAACTTGTCTGAATGTTGGTCTGACAGATTGTCATGGATTTATATAAAGCCTGGAATAAAATAAATACAGCTTCAGTCAGATTTCATATTCATGCAAAGAGTAGGGACAATACAGATCTAATGCCAATGCTTTGCTTAATAAGATATTATTTTTATTTTCTGTTTAAAGACCTTGTTGCATTTCTTCAGATTTGTTATAATGATGCACACCTTCAAATATTTCACTGTTTGCAAAAATGATTATTAGAACAGAAAGTAGTCGCGATCGAGTACAGATAATTTTCAGGCCCTTGTTAGTGAAACATAGCTATGGATCTGTATTCTAATCAGATTGTCTGTACTCAAAATAAGTCCTATTAATTGGTACTACTAGCATTATAATGACCAACTTACAAAACTGGGTTTTTTAAAAAAAATAATATAAAGACATATTGTCCAATGTAGGTTCTGAAATTGCCTAAAATTGACTACAGACTCGATGCATTGTTTAGTTTGAAGACACGATTGATATATTCAATGCACCAAAATACTTATATTAATTCAAACAAAGTGATACACTACTATGACAAACATTTACAGTTAACCCAAACAAAATGTATACAAAACTCCGCTTAAATATAGACAGACTTAAAACTTGTTTTCAGCAAAATTTATTCCTCTATTTTCATACAATAAAACAATTTTAGTGCTTACTCACATATATATAATTGTCTATATGTAGATAACATTAATCAAACTACATATGACACCATTACATATAAATATTGTGTAATATTTGTTTCAAAACAGGATCTGTCTTCTGTTCAGAAACACAAATTCTTTGCATATTTGAAATCAGTCTGAATATTTGTCCTTTTGACCTGATTATAAGGTCGCAAGCATTTTCCATAACATTCCATTTTAATGATTAAACTGATAAGATGTAGAAAATCTCTTTGTTAAGCAAATAGAATAATGATTCAAAATTTTATTTAAATTTTCTCTTTTATCCTATAGTGTAAAAGCACTTTAAATTTCAAGATGTTTTTTTGCATATCTTGCTATTTATGATTAAGAAGATAAAATGCATAACATTATGCTCTAAAATATGTGTAAGCGCCTTGATACACATTTGCATCTTACAACAAACAAAACTAGAGGTACAAGGAGCCTGCATTGCTCACCTGGCATTTTTGTATAAAATTAACAAAATACAACACAAATATTTGGTTTAATTTAAACTGTGTGGGCTACAAGAAACAACTCTTGTAAGTTTCACTCATTTTACTTATTTGCAGATCTTGTGTGGTTGATCGTTTTACTGTTCAAGCTTCTTTCTACAGCAAACAGTAAAAAAGTTTGCCAAAAAACATCAATTAAGGGTGGAAAAAATGTAAAAAAAACAAGTAAAACTGTGAGCTACTTCTCACTGATGATACCCCCGCCTAAATGTTTCGGTAAACAGAAAGTTGTTGAGTGATGAATCTGAAAACGCATCACACGTTGTAACTTACATATATAAACCCTGAAACCAAATTTCAGAAATCCTTATCAAGTACGTAGTTCCTGAGAAAAATGCGACGAAAATAATCATGGGACGGACGGACTGACGGATGGATGGATGGACTGACGGATGGACAGACAGAGGTAAAACAGTATACCCCCACTTTTTTAAAGTGGGGGTATAATAAAGCGGGGGTATAAAAAACATCAACTAAGGGAAATTTCTCCTATAATGAGTCAACTGACAATTTCCATCATTTTAACTAATTCAGATCTAATTTTCTGTTAACAGTTTTTGACATTCTATTATAAATAGTCATTACATGAGAGCAAAACATTCCTGTAAGGAGTCATCTAACAATTTTGGTGATTCAAAGTTTTTGTAGATCTCTTTTTGTTGATCATCTTTGCAATTTAAAGTGTCTGTCTACTTATTATAGCTATAAAGCCTTCAAGAAAATAGACAAAATTGCTAAAATATAAATGTAAAAAATATCATCATTCAAGGGCAATATCAAACTTTTATCAAAAACAACAATGTTTGGCTGTTGTGTAGATCTTTACATTCTGATATTTTTTGTCTTTTTAACGTTTTTTCTTTTCAATATTATAGCACAAAGCACAAAAAATTTAGAATTTCAATTTAAATAACTTCTTTAAGAAGTCTTCTGACCATTTCAGCCCAAAAACTTATTTGTAGACCTCTTCTTGCTGATCATTTTTCCCAATTAAAGTGTTTCCTATTATGATTTTCAAAATAGACAAAAACGCCAAAAAATGGTAGAAATCATCAAAACTCCATATATAATACATCTGACAGTTTTGGTGAAAATTGGACAGTAAATGTAAATCTTGACATTCAAATACTCTGAATATTTCTACTTTATAAGATTTTCGTTTCCATCTTTAACAGACTTTAAGAAGAAAGCCAGAACTTGTATTTTACCCAGCCCTATCAGTCTTCATGCTTAACCACAGGCCCAGTAGCCAAGGCTTGCAAAATTGCTTTTGGGCCTGTAAAAATCATCCACAGAATCAAAAAAAAATTTTCCAAAAATTGAGCTCTGGACCTGAAGATTTGAAAGTTTATAGTGAAGACTGCCCTATTTTCTGTTTTTAGCTATGGAAGCAATTTTGGGTGGCCAGCAAAATCATGCGTCACAACTTTAAGATGATTGTGGACATGTCTGGTTGCAATTGGGCAATTGTTTCAAAGGAGTAGATTTTTGTATTCAAGTTAACAGACAACGGATGGCAAGAGATGGTTATAGCTCACATTGGCCCTTTCTTTACAAATATTTAGGTTCTAAATAGATCTATCTTACTGGATCTCAAAATATTTTTTTTTGGTGGGGGGGGGGGGGGGGGGGGGTAACATCAGCAGTACTTTTCAGAATTCAAACTGACTTAGTGCAAATATCTGTTGTTTTTTTTTTTGGAAAACCAATTCTATACACTATACAGTTCAACATGAATGGTAACACATGTAGTCAAAAATGTGATTGAAGTGTAGATATTTACATAAATTGTGATTCACAGAGATTTATTATCAATTGATACTGTGTCATTTTATTCTCATGTACTTTAATTACAATATCATAATAACATTCAATTGATTTTCTGTGCTAACTACAAATTAGTGTTAGGGGTACTAACTCAATCTTATTATCTCTTACCAGTAAATAGAAAACAAATAAAACACAGTAAAGAATAGTGATTACTTTAACAGGTATCATCCAAAATCATCAGAGTAATTTGTTTACATATGTAAATAACACATTAATGTCGTTAGTATTATACTTAACAGGTAAATTCAAATACTTCTAAGGCTAAAAGGGACGAAGATGACCTCTGGGTCAATCGTCTTTTTACGATAAATATTTTATAATCTATTTGATAATTCAATAAACATGGCTGACAAAGGTTTTCAAATAAACAAATAAATTTCCCACTAACAAACAAAAATACCTGTTTAAAGTCCTCATATCGTGTTGTCCTTCTCGTTTAAATCTGTCTCAAATCAACTAAAAGTCAGTCGTGACCCTACCACATGATAGCTACTACTTCCCCCTTTTGTTAAAAATCTCTCAAACACAGGTAAGAGATTGAATACTCGTCTTTTGTTCAAAGCAATACCTTTATATGTACAAAACTTCAATATTATTTATGCATTGATTTGGCTCGTTTAAATGTCCGCTGCTGAGATGGTTGGTAGTAAATAAGTACCGCTGTGTGAAACGAGTATCGAGACTTTATTGTTAATCAAATAATAACAAGTTAAGGCTCACATCCATGTCATATTGTGTCAACAAAATATACAATTAAAAACCCTTTACCCAATTTTACTAAAAATTTCAATGATGTGACTATGAATATTTTTACATATGTACTTATTACTATAAAATAATTATTCTATAAAAAATTATAAAACTACCTGTTTTTCTCTATAGCAATATCAATCAGGTCATAATAGCAAATCCAAACAATTCACTGTTGATCTGTCATTGTGGAAACACCCCCCCTCCCCTTTCCAAAAAAAAAAAATAATAAATGATTGTACTAAAACAAGAATAGACCCCCCTTCTGTAAAAAATTAAAACTGAAGGTGCCATAAAATTTTATTACAATTTTTTTAATAATCATTGATGAGGCAATTAAATTAAATTAAATAAGATGAAGCTCCTGAAACAGACTTGAAATGTGGATGCTGACTCATTTTGTCAGAGAAAAACAGAGCAATTGTCACATACATGTGCATGTATACAAATAAGATTTAGTGAACAGATATCCAACCTTTTTCTGTTGAGGGCATTCTAATCAGATTCTTATTAGGCCTCAATTATTTGAGAAAAGTCAGAGGAATATTTGGTATAACTTGAATTATAATTTACAACATGTACAAATATTTTAATTCAGAAACCTCTGACTAGCGCATTTTTTAAACCATGTGTGGAAAAACTATTATGTAAAATTATTATTACATAAATATATGGATCTCATCCTTACATGTGTATGAATGGGTTAGTATATATCAATTCATGTCAATTTTCAGTCCACCTGTTACTTCATCTAAGATTAAGCAGTTATGTATACATACATTAATGACAAGAGATTATCAATTTCAGCAACTCAGCTATATTGTTACATAACAACATTAAGTAACTGCCTGAAAAGCTGAGTTTATGATAGAAGGGCTCACAGTTCTACAGACTAAGTGAATAACATGTTTTTCCATATGAATTTTAAACAAAATAGTACATGTATGTGTTGTCATGCTAAGCATACCCCATTGATAATTCAGTGGTAAACCAGATGACAGTCTGACAGATCTGAAAAGCTCTCACAACTTACAACACACCTCTGTCAAGCTACTGTCCAAACATGGTCATTTTGTTCAGTAGTAGCAGATAAAGTGTAACATAAATATTTGTTGGACCAATTTTTGTAATGAAGACATGTTATTAACAGACTGTCATTCAAACATTTACAGTACTCACTGAATTTTGATATATAGGGGCTCAGAAATTTTGAATTTGAAATTTTTTTTAGTACAGAATATTTATTACATGATGTATATTAAATTATAAATATACATCTTACTTTTATATCAGTTCTTTTATCATCCAGTCTAAAACTACGATCACATTAGCATCCAAGTCACTGTCAACATCTCAAATTAATTCTTTAAATTTTATATTCTTTCTTTAAGCAAGTCCTGTAAAGAAAAAAATCAAAATGAGAACTTCCAAGTATATGTGCATGTATTAATAAGATGAAATATTTTTTTTTAAACACCAACTATTTAGGACACCACTAACATGTACACTGAATCCCATGTACCAGTTCAGAAATGATGTTGCATTTTGAGAATGTCACTGTTTTGGGAATTCTGATTGGTCTAATGTCACTTACGACTAATACTGAATGAAATGGACCAATTCACTGTCTCATTAACGGAATGTCACTGTTTTGGACATTCTGATTGGTCTAGATGTCACTTACTACTAACACTAAATGAAATGGACCAATTCAGAAAAACTGATGCATTATGGGAATGCCACTGTTTTTGGCATTCTGATTGGTCTAATTATCACTCACAACCAACACTGAATGAAATGAGCTAATTCAGAAATGGTGTTCACTGTTACATTATGGGAATTTGTATGACTGTAGATAATGTACTAATTGGTTGAATGTTGGTGAATTACGCCTTTTTCAGCACTACTGGCTATATCATGGCAGCCATATTGCCCTGAGAGAACCAATGACCTTAGGCAGGAAAACTGGCAATCCCAGTTAATTAAGATTGGAATTGAACACACCTACAACATGTGAGGCTCCAAACCCACAACCTAACTGTTGACAGGCTAGTGATACAATAGATGAACTACCTTGACCATTCTGCCACCAAGGCCCTGTACATGAACTACCTTGACCACTTTGCCACCGAGGCCCTGTAGATGAACAACCTTGACCACTCTGCCACCAAGGCCCTGTAGTTGAACTACCTTGACCACTCTGCCACCAAGGCCCTGTAGATGAACTACCTTGACCATTCTGCCACCAAGGCCCTGTAGATGAACAACCTTGACCACTCTGCCACCGAGGCCCTGTAGTTGAACTACCTTGACCACTCTGCCACCAAGGCCCTTTAGATGAACTACCTTGACCATTCTGCCAACGAGGCCCTGTAGATGAACAACCTTGACCACTCTGCCACCGAGGCCCTGTAGTTGAACTACATTGTACCTTGACCACTCTGCCACCGAGGCCCTGTAGATGAACAACCTTGACCACTCTGCCACCGAGGCCCTGTAGATGACTGATACATGTGCAAAATGTACACATAAATGTATATATATATATATATATATATATGGTACATTTTTAATGGCATGATCAGGGTTCAAGCAGCTGCTTCCAAATTTTGATCAGCTGGTTTCCTGAAAGGTCTGTTGAGGTGGTGCAAATTAAAACAGAAGAATATAAAAATAAGAAGATGAGGTGATTGCCAATGAGACAACTTTCCACCAGAGACCAAAATAAGCTATAAAGACTCCTGCATGACAAATGTAAAGCATTCAATAATGAGCCAAACCCTTACCAAAAAGTAAGCTATAAAGACTCCTGCATGACAAATGTAAAGCAATTCAAATGAGAAAACTAATAGCCTGATTTATGCACAGAACAATAAACGATGATCAAATATGATATACCGCAACAAAGAACAATCACTGAATTACAGGCTCCTGATGATGACTTGGGACAGGCACATACACTGATACTGATTATGGCAGGGTTAAACAAGTTTGTGGGTGCCCGACCCTCCCCCTGACCTGGGACAGCGGTGTAACCCATTTCCTAGAACTATAATTCTTCTGGCCTAATGCATATGGGTTACCTAGATTTAGGATAATGGTTGCAGCTCATGTAAAGTGTAAAGTGTTTTTTGTACTATAAACTTGGGGTGTGGTTTAAAGGTTTAAAGGTTTTATACATTCTTACCAGTTTTTAGCTGCATAACCTGTAAAAACCAAGCATAATTTTATACTTGATTTATTTTCCACTAAGTTAATTCATATAACATACACAATCATTTTTATAGGAAATAGCCTACAGGCAAATGTTTTACGACAGCCTCACTTATAAACCAAAACTTCTAACAAAGAAAATAAATTGATGCTTAATATTTAAATTACTTTTTATCTGATTTTATTCAACTAGAAAAAGTTATATAGACATACAGTGTCAATGTTACAATCTTATTTCGTTAAATGATTGACAGACACATGGGAAACAATTCTAATATACATGTATATAAAAAATAAAAGTATCCTTTAAATTTACTTTTTTCAAAATATGTCTGTTCAAAATAAGGCCACCCTTAAGAAAATCTTTGTTTGATGTTGCTTACCCATGCTTTCTAGGGTTGGGTAGGTAGGTAGATTCTTTTAATTTTTTGGCCAACTTATGCTAGTTACAAGTTTTAGACAAGAAAACGACGTTAGAGCAGAAAAAAATCTTTAAACTTTTTTTAGGTAGGCTGCTTTTTAGGTGGGTAGGTAGGCGACAACAAACAATGTAAATATAATTTTTGGCCTTTTATGGGTTGGGATCCCCAACACAACACCATCATTTCAAGTGCATGTAGGTAACAATTAGTCCCAACCAAACATGTACAAATGATATAGGTCACTGCTTAAACTACATGCACTAGTACAGAGTTCAATTCTGTAAGTTATATTTCTAATTAAATTCTAAAATGTACAATGGTGATGCATTGGTGTATGTAATGTTAATTGTGACCTAGCTTATGTGTCACCCTAATTCTAACACATAAATAAGCATGCCTCTGTTCAAAATTATGTTGAATGTTTCCAAGAGAACAAGGTACATATACATGTACAACCATGTACATAGAATTTACAGACAAGTCACTGTTCTTTTTTTCTTCATTTAGAATCATACATTCGATAAACTAATTAAATTAATCATGATATTCTTCAATTCTTTATTAACAGAACAGATATTAAGATAGGAATAAAATAATTCCATAGATCTATTTGTTGGTGATGGCTTTTTTGCTGTCATGGCTGTGTTCTTCAGACTTTCAAATTTAACACTTTTGTAACAACATTAGATGTAATTAACAAATGATCCATAAACATGTTAGTCACATCTATCTTTGTGGACTAGAACTTGCAGTAAGGACAGTAAATCAAGGTGTGAGTTTTTGCTCTGTGTTGAAGGTCTTACTGTGACTTTGAATTAAAGAACGGCATATCAAAGGTGCTGTTTCTTTGCTTTTGGGTTTTGTCAAATGGGTGTAGAGCTAATTCTGTCAAGAGTTATTATATCATAGCCCTTCTTTACAATTACATCCAAAGTCTGGTACGCCATTGCCATTTTTATCATTTTATAAAGTAACAACAAAATTTCCTCAGCCTGTCTGTAGCCTCAGTTGGGTTTATCCCGGACACAATAGACCTCACAAGTCTGGGTTTATCTTATTGATAATAAACACTATAAACTGGAAAACTGCCAACGGGTAAAAATGAAATATATTCTTACTCCAAAGAAATTCTATTACATTATTAAAGTCAATATAAGGTAGTCTAATGGTAATTACAAGCTAAATCATGATGTGTATTGTTTGTACTATTTATACTGTTACCAATCATCTACCATAACTGTTCATTTTACTGACGTAACTGTAATTCTTAATCGGAAAATTACAGAAAGATTTAAATCCTGTATTTAAATGAAAACTTACTTCTATAATGACTTGGATTCTATTTGAAAGGGAAGATCAAAATCAATAATTTCAAACTTATTTCGATTTACTGAGCCATATTAAATGATGTCAGTGGTGTGGCTTTTATTGGTTTCCATTTTTGGTCGTGATAAATTAATGAAATGATAAAAATAGAACTGAAGTTCTGTATGTACAGAAAAATCATTATTAGATTCAGAACTTGTCTTCTGGATAAACACTTCAAAATATCTGA